GCCCGAACCATTCCCAATTTTTGGTCATTGACTTTGCCCTTTTTATCACATCTAGACCTCAATAACATTGGACCAATGGGTTTTAGAAATACCATCCCCTTCACCTCCTGATCACCTTCCCTATCCTCCTCCCTGTCCCTCTTCAGGGACCCTTCTCATGAGCACCTATTACGACAAGAAGTCAATCATCTTCTACAACTAGGTGCCGTGGAATGAGTTCCTTCACAATTCAAAGGGAGGGGATTGTACTCCCATTATTTCCTGACCCAGAAGAAGAATGGGGGATGGAGACCTAATCTGGACCTAAGGAAGCTCAATAAATTCGTATGCTCCCAAAAATTCAAGATGGTCACATTGGGCACGATACTTCCAGCGCTGCAACAGGGGGACTGATTTTCAGCCCTCGACCTTCAAGATGCTTATTTCCATATCACCATTCATTCCGCTTACAGGAAATTTGTGTTTCACGGTAGGACATGAACACTTTCAGTACAGAGTTCTACCATTCGGCCTATCTGCAGAAAAGGACCTAGGGGTTACAGTGGACCAGAAGCTGGATATGAGTCAACAGTGTGCTCTTGTTGACAAGAAGGCTAATGGCATTTTGGGCTGTATAAGTAGGGGCATTGCCAGCAGATTGAGGGACGTGATCATTCCTCTCTATTCTACATTGGTGAAGCCTCATTTGGAGTACTGTGTCCAGTTTTGGGCCCCACACTACAAGAAGGATGTGGAAAAATTGGAAAGAGTCCAGCGGAGGGCAACAAAAATGATTAGGGGTCTGGAGCACATGACTTACAAGGAGAGGCTGAGGGAACTGGGATTGTTTAGTCTGCAGAAGAGAAGAATGAGGGGGGATTTGATAGCTGCTTTCAACTACCTGAAAAGGGGTTCCAAAGAGGATGGATCTAGACTGTTCTCAGTGGTACCAGATGACAGAACAAGGAGTAATGGTCTCAAGTTGCAGTGGGGGAGGTTTAGGTTGGATATTAGGAAAAACTTTTTCAGTAGGAGGAGGGTGAAGCACTGGAATGGGTTGCCTAGGGAGGTGGTGGAATCTCCTTCCTTAGAGGTTTTTAAGGTCAGGCTTGACAAAGCCCTGGCTGGGATGATTTAGTTGGGAATTGGTCCTGCTTTGAGCAGGGGGTTGGACTAGATGACCTCCTGAGGTCCCTTCCAACCCTGATATTCTATGATTCTATCTACTGCTCCAAGAGTTTTCTCCAAAACCCTAGGGGTAGTCGTGGCACATTTACGCCAACAGGGAATAATGATCTTTTCCTACCTGGACGACTGCCTTATCAAAGGCCCAGCCCTACAAGGAATGATGGACACAGTCTAGGCCACTATCACACTATTCCGGGAGCTAGGGTTACAAATAAACAAATGAAAATCGATTGTAATCCCGGTCCAGCAACTGGACTTCATCAGGGCACATCTCGATGCTATGGAAGCCAAGGCTTCCCTTCCTCAGGCCAAATTCATAACTCTCACAAACCTTCTCAGATGTACAAGTCATCCCTCAAATATGGGGTTGTACTTTCCTGCAACTACTAGGACACATGGCAGCCACAACGTTCATGGTACGACATGCAAGACTACACATGCGATGCTTACAAGGCTGGTTACGCAAGGTATACATACCCAGCAAACACAACCTACACAAATGACTCTCAGTACCACCCAGTGTCCTGGACACTACAATGGTGGACAAGACCACAAAATGTATGTATGGGCTTCCCTTTCCAGCAGGAACCCCCATCCGTTGTGATCACCACAGATGCGTCACTGATGGGCTGGAGTGCCCATATGAATCATCACACGGCCCAAGGCAAATGGTCTCTGGCAGAGACTGAGCTACACATCAACATACTACAGCAATGCCTGCAGACAATTCCTATCTCATATAAAGAACAAGTCTTTTGCATTATGACCAACAATATTGCATGCATGTCTTACATCAACTGCCAAGGAGGCGCTCATTCACACTCGCTACGCACCAAAGCCATAAAATATGGAGCTGGTGCACACAACACTACATAAACATCTTGGCATGGTACCTGCCTGGCTGTCAGAATGCGACAGCGGACACACTCAGCAGGTACTTCTCTCAAGACCATGCTGATGGGGAATTCCCATCATCGACCTGTTTGCATCCCCAACAAATGGCAAATGCACAATGTTCTGTTTGCGAGCAGGACTCTGACCACGATCACTGGGGAACGCCTTCCTCATCAAATGGGAGGCACAACTCATGTATTTATTTCCACTGATATCACGCATGTCGCACTAGATACAAACAGAGAGGGCCAAGGTTATCCTCAGAGTCACGACATAGCCCAGACAAGCACGGTACCCTTATCTGATGCGAATGGCGGTATGTGCCCCACGAGCCCTCCCTCCTAGTGCAGATCTGCTGTCTCAGCACCACAGTCGTACTCTTCGCCTGAACCTGGAGCTAATCCACTTACAAACATGGCTCCTACATGGTTCCACCATGGTGAACTAATTTACTCAGAACAAGTTAAACGTGTGTTATTAAACACCAGGATGATGACCACACTTAATACTTGCCTTCAAAAATGGAAGAGATTCTCCGCCTGGTGTCAAGAAAGACAATTAACAGCCTCTACAGTACCACTAGTGCTGGAATACCTACTGGAGCTGAAAAGTTCAGGTTTAAGAATGAGCTCAATCAAAGTTCATCTGGTGGCCATTACAGTGTTCCATCAGGAGATCGATGGAACCTCAACATTCGCTGACCCAACTACTAAACGCTTCCTCACGGGTCTCATGAACATTTACCCAGAAGTTCGTTGGCCCACCCCAACGTGGGACCTCAATCTGGTGCTGAAATGCCTCACCAGACCACCATTCGAACCATTAGTCATCTGTTCCGTGCTACATTTATCCATGAAAGTGGCCTTTCTGGTTGCTATTACTTCTACCAGAAGGGTGAGTGAGATAGGTCTGCTCATGGCTGATCCTCCATACACAGTATTCTTCAAAGAAAAGGTTATGCTACGTCCGCACCCAAAGGTTACG